ATATATATATATATATATATAGACGAACCTTATGGTTGTACGGCAGTGAAGCTGCCTTTGATGATGATAATAGGGCTGATCCACCAACGCCTCAAAATGACGAATGCCCGGGATGTTTCAATCTAGCGATCGATGAAGTATCACTATTCGCTTGTGTAACTTGTGTCCGGTCATCGTTTACTTACTTGCGTATCATACACCTATTGCAGACCATGCAAACAGTGTGAGCTATCCTTTTAGGGATCCACAGAGTGGATTTACCCAAGTGGTAAGGTCAGCTCACCATGGGTATGCACATAAGTATTTAAAGGGGTGAACGATTGCTGAGGTGAAGCTGCTTAAGCCAGTGCAAGCGATTACTAGGGCGTTTTATAAACAACTTATGACCAATGGTGTATCAGAAACCGGGAGAAATCAAGAGGTCCCTTCTTTCGAGGTCTTATATGATTGGCGTATTCTCTAGCTTTTTCGTATCTCAGCCAGAAGCTACTCTGTATAGTATATAAGTAGCATTATACAAACATGACCGTTAGTAATTGCTGCAATATCACAAACCAAATGGATTTTGTTAATATTGTACCTCGGTGGTTTGTAAATCCCGTGAGAAATACAGAAAAAGATTTTGACTTCAAATAAGTGTAGTTCATTATATCAGAATGTTTAAACTCATAAAAACGTGCGCCTATTACGAGGCCCAAAGTGAGAAATGATAACCCAATCTACTACGTGCGGAAGAGTGTTTAACTCTAAGAGAGGAGAGCCATACCATGGAAAATTTAGTGTTTTACATTAGGTCTTATTGCAACAAATCAATCACGGTGAAAGAAATGACAGAGAACAAGGATTGCATTTTGAAATTAGGCATTTTGATTGATCCATGTAAAACTACCTTATATCAGTCAGAAACACTTTGGGTTAAGCTATGTCTGAGGGCAAATATGTGGAGAGTGGGGGTAGAAACTCAAGAAGTCAGTAGGAGGAACTGACTTGTTTGCTGTTGAAAAATGGTCAGAATAGAAGTGACAAATACACACCTTAATTACGATCAACAATGACAGAATTACACCTTGCTTTGTAAAGTGTTTCAAGGCCCACAAAATGATTGGCATACGGCCAAAGAATTTGTAAGAAATGTTGACTGATATTGAAATTCTGATATGCCAAAAATGAACAAAGTTTCTAATCTGTGTCTTCAGTGTTTCGCAGTTTGGACCGATTACAACCAGTTTTCATATTGGCGTTGTAACTTCGATCTTGGCAAATTTTGATATGAAGGTGACAAACAGAGCCAATCACAATTATATAGTGCTGCTTCGTTTGGCTGAGGAGAATATACAGTACTGCGGTCGCCTGATAAGTATCTGAATGAAGTCTCATTCTTCCTTGATGAGAAATGTAATCCATTTGAACTTCATGCTTACTACAGCCCTCTGGTTTTTGATCGGAGAAAATTCATCCGTTTTTACATGGTCATTTTAAGGAAAAGAGCTTTCACCGCATTCATGCTTAGATGTAGAAGTTGCATCCAATACAAAAATTTGATCAAAGAATTGCCTACAAATACAATGACATTGAAGAAAATATAACCTCCAGAGGTCTTGAATAAAAAGTTTTGTTTAAATCAGGGGGAGGCCTGTAGTCAAAACAAGGGATTTGACACATTTTTCTACTGGTTGAAATCTGTGAATAACAAGAACCGCAACAACGAATGAAAGAGAGAACAGGTACTTAGTAATGTCCACCAGATGGAGATATGTTTCTCTGAACACTAAGGCTATGAGGATGACAATCATAAAACAAAACGGAATATCTTGTTGGGGAAAACCCAACTCTGAAACGGGTTTATTGCTAATCGCTGGTAGATCACAAGTCAGTCAAAACCAGCGCGTGGCTTTAATGGACGACTAATGATTCTAAGTGAAAACCTAACTGATATAACCAGACTAACGACGCCCCGCCGTTTACAACGGTATATATATATATATATATATATATATGAATTAATTTATTGTTGCGAGGAACACACTTAAGTGATTTATTGTCTAGGCATTTCAGGTGAAATCGCACTTGTTTTGAATCTGTGCTCCATCCATTTGTTTTGTTTTCGAAACTACCAGCGAACTATTTTTTCCGTGTGTAGGCAGCCCAACTTCCTATTCGAGCTATTGTATCTCAGAAAAATCTATAAACGCATTTCAGGTGAAATCGCACTTGTTTTGAATCTGTGCTCCATCCATTAACTTTGTTTTCGAAACTACCAGCGAACTATTTTTTCCGTGTGTAGGCAGCCCAACTTCCTATTCGAGCTATTGTATCTCAGAAAAACAACATCTATAAACAGCCTGAAAACATTCATTTGTATGTAGCTATGGTAACGAAATTGCTGGGGTTTTTTCAGCTGGAAAACATCTAGACATTAGTGGTTTTCCAGAAAAGTAAACAAACGCTTCTTTCTATTTTTGTTGCAATCAGAGCGGAATAATTTAGTCGCCCAATGGACCAGTAGTATTCTGATTGGTGGATCAGTTGTTCGGAAAGAAGACAACTGACGAATCAGCAACGGGTATGTTCATCTTTTATATATCAAATGCTTTTCCGTTTACGACACTTCTGATGATGTTAAGGCGGCAGTCGGTTGCAGAATATGTCTGCGACTGAAACAATTTCTTTCTACAATGTTCACCCCCACCACCAACAACAACACACGTGTAACTACACTCTTCGAACTTTGGGAGATATCCCTTCATTTTTTCAGCAATCAACCACATCCGAACTTTCGTCAAAGCATTTAGTTGTATTGGGATTTGTCAGCGTTCTCGTTACCATGACAATTTTGGGTAATACTTTAATTTGTGTCGCTGCTGCAACCAATCGCCAGTTAAGACACCGGTCCAACGTGTTCTTTGTCTCTTTAGCCATCACAAATTTGCTGTACGCCGCTATCGTTATGACATTTAGTGTTGCGTACAACATATTTCAACCCTCCCTATTTACGGACGCAGTATGCATATCCTTCCACACTCTGGATTCACTTTTCTGTGCTTCATCTATCCTTCACCTGGTGGCCATTGCATTTGATCGATTAATTCACATATCCTCTCCCTTAACCTATTCTCGAACCTGCACAACAAAAATACACTTTGTTGTGATTTCTGTGCTGTGGGTTGTTGGTGTTCTGCTCGCCTTCCTGCCCCAGCCTCTGGGCTGTCGTATTCATCGGCATTCAGAAACTGCTTGTTTCCAAAGAACGACGGATTCGCTGGGTGGACACAATCAGTGTGGCCAAGAACTGACGCATGCCGAGGTTTTCGCGCGCACCTGTTATCACAAAAGCAAATTGTTCTGTGCACTATTCCACGCAGTATTCGTCTTCATCATTCCTCTACTAATTATGCTCTTGATCTATAGCAGACTGTTTCTACTGACTAGGAAGCATCTTGTACAAATCAAGAATCAGAAGCTCACATCCGAAACAGGGGGCAAACAGGACGAAAAGACAGTCGAAACAAATAATCAGTCTTGTAATCCGAGCTTGAACGGGTGTGCGTCCACATCAAGTCTGCGAAGCGCCTTCTTTGTGGATACAGGTGAAGAACTGACAATGGCCCCGAAGTATCTAACAGATTTAGCCGGTTTTCAAGAGCTACCACCGTTAGAAAAACCGATTGGGACAAATGTTCCAAGACCAAAGCCACGGCATTGTAAGTCTGCGCTGGACACTAGAGAGCTGACATCTTTTGTGAACAACACATCCAGAACAAATCTGTTCTCAAGACAAAGAAATAGCCTGATTGTCCCGACACATTCGCTTCTGCGTCGATACAGTGATAACAGCAGATGTTCAATGCTAATGTGCTTGAAACCTAAATTTTCGGTTTTGTCCTCTTCGGCTAAACCTTACAACAACCTGCACTCGGAGTACAAGGCGGCAGTGACCTTGGGCCTCATCCTAGGATCTTTCTTGTTGTGCTGGCTTCCAATGTTCTTGTTGGATTCGATCTCAGCCTTGTGCGACTGCATTCCAAGTAAGTCAGCCGAACTGTCTTGATAATTTTTGGACAGCTTTGTAGTTGCTCGAATGAAACTCGATTTTGAGTAGGACAAAGCTTGTAGCTTTTTTGAGGTTTTACACTTATTTCCTCGACTGAACACACCACTCATTAGATTGCTGAAAATACTTCGACAGCCTACTATCGACCTGGCTATCTTGGGACCAACCAGGCGCTTATACGTACACTGATTCTGTGCAACGGCACTCATTTTGGACGGGGGAGGTAAAAATGATCTTGAATACATTAAATTTCGTCTAGCAATCAAAATGATCAAGCCTGCTCCTCATGTGGGTTTGATAACCAAATATATTGGAGAAAAACAACAATAGAAGCAAATTTTCTCTCATATGTTTAGTCACTGCGATACCCCATTCCGTGTCTCGTTTTGTCTGCAATCTCGGTGGAATCGCAGTTGCTAAGTCTTAGGAGTACCGCATTGATTTCTGTAAGTACTCGGATAGATAAAACTTGTGGGGCGAGATGGCATAAGTGGTTAGGGCACGAATTTACTAACTGGAAGGTCCATGGTTCGAACCCGACCTCCGCCTCTGGACTTGCCCTGTCTAGGCTTGGGAAACCTGGCAGTATCCCAGCCCTCGTGCAACCTTCGGGTGGCATGGTAGTTAGGCACCGAAGGGCTGCCACAGCTGAACAGCTGAATAGATGAAATTGGATGTTTAATGATGCAGGAAAATCACAAGGATAGTGGAGTGGTAGAGCGAAGTTCGTGTATTCTATGGAGTTCGGAAAAAAACCACCAGTTCATTGCGGACCCATTCACCGAACAGCAAAAGTATCCCAACGCATCCAGATTTTCGCTGATGACTAGTAGCTCAATCGCAAGAAAGAAAAATGCCAAATTTATGTTTGTCAGCAAAGCGTCAGATTCCTGGATAGAAATGTTTTTGCAGAGGCAAAAGTGAGGGCCCAGTTCGAGATGTGAAGCATTCCTGGAGACTCCTAAAAGCAAAAATTACGTACCTGTCTGAGAACCGCTGTAGTCAAGGTTCTTCCGTGGCATTCCTGCAACCGTAGGCCACATCCAACTACTTTTACTTTCGTACACATTGTAATCTTACCGAATGGATACTACGTAGACTCGAATTGCAGGTATGGTGGCACACAACCTGATGTAATGTACTGAAAATATCAGTCGAACACATCTTCGGTGTTTCACAACACACAAAGCTGTTGCCTGACAGTCATGCGCTGTGGTCGTGAAAAATCTTGTGTCAATCCTTTTGTTTTTGTCTCCTGTACTACGAGGTCGTGGACCAGTGTGTTTTTTTTTACAAAAAATGACTTCACAGAAGAACAGAATCAAAGACACCTGTTTTGATGGTGTTCGATTCGTTGTCAAGATTTTGGAATTTAACTCACTCGCATCCCAGGCTGAACAGGTTCAGTTCATCGATCATGTGCATGCAAAAAATCGTTCAGCTATAGCGCCCTTTCGATGCCTAGCTACCATGCCACACGAAGGAAGCACAAGGGCTGGAATACTGCCAGGTTGCCCAAGCCTAGATAGGGGAAGTAGAAAGGCAGAGTTCGGGTTCGAACCACGGACCTTCCGGTCAGCAAATCCACGCTCTAACTACTTGGACCATCTCCCCCACCCCATATGCCTGAATGATTCTTATGTTTCATTGGTATCATTTAGTGATACTGAAGTAATTTGCCAGATATTTTCCTCAAGTATTACCTTTTTTAGTATCATAAACAGCTGTGTTTAATTGTTTAAGGTGTCGTATCAAACTGACGTCTACTGTTTTGTGTGGCTCGATTTCTGGATGGGGTGAAGCTAAGCAATTGCCTAGTCATATGATTGTGCTTCTAGTTCGGTGACGCTCTCAGGTAAATTTACACAGCCATGTATATACAGCTCTCCTTGTTACCTGGAATAATAATTAGGTGAAAAAAATCGAAGGCAAAAATTTAGCTCGTGCATAAAAATTGAGCGGTGGGAAGCAGAACGCTGCGATGCCTTGGTAGGCTTGATTTGACTGCTGAGCGAAATTACGAGAAATATTTGTGTCCTTACAGTTTCACCTGACACGAATTGTTTTACTAAAATCTAGACCTGCCCAAATTAGTACCTCAAATTGATATAATCAACCTGAAAAAACGTATTGATTACCTGCGTATGTGAAAATTTATCCAAGTCTAAGAATAACCTGAATACTACGACAGAAGAATCAACATAGACAAGCGACCTGAGGGATTCATAGGTTAAAGAGAGCGAGTTTTGATTCTACCAAAAACGACATCATATAGTTCGGTTTCAAAACACTTTAAAGACCGCTCCCACATGCTTTGTAGTCGTCTTTGTGGAAACCACTGTGACCAGATTTAACCAGAAAAAATATTAATCTAACTACATTGTCAGCAAATTTCATTCTGGCAGAGTGGTGTAACGCAAACACTCAAATGGCCGAAGCGGATTTTCTGCTCGCCCAGCCACCAGGAACCACAGAGTAGAAGACCAATCAGCGATGATCTATGGTTGCTTGCAGGCTGTTATATGCCTTCTAGCTAAATGAGAACTCCATGATCTTATGAGGCCTGGCTAACTCTTTGCACTCAGGCTGCCTAAAATAGATGAATTTCAGTCAATCTCATATTCGCCACAATACCAGTCATGTGTAAATTAAGGAAGCAATTCACATGTGACTCCACATGACGTTCCGTTTAAAAAACTCGCCACCACTAATGGACCCATTTGGATCCAAGTTTTAAAGCAATGATTAATTTCCCGGATGGAAAACAAAGCATTTCTTCTCTCTGTTACAAAATTAGCGTCACGAACAGGCTGGACTGACAATTTTTTTCTTTCAATGGGGGCACCTTCAGCTGGCACCTTTACTCCATCACGGGACCGAGTGCTAAAATGGCGCCCTTAAATAGTTTAGATTTATAGCAGCTGAAGTCTTTTAGTGAGTAACCTCCAAGTGTCAGGTGGATCAGGACGCAACAGATTTGGTTCGTTTTCTGTCATAAACCTGGTTGAAGAAATATTTATCAAAGTCCATTTTGATTTCATTCTTATCTGATAACTTTGCATACACTTAAACACGTGGAGTCCCTTGGCAGGAAGATTCTGAGGCTAACATTGCACTGACGCACAGCTAATTGTACGTAGATGGACAATTAGGTAAATAGATACACTCACAAAGAGGTGAATAGATAGATAGCTAGATGATAGATAGATAGATAGATTGGTTGATTGATAGAATGTGAGACGAATGGGTAGATGAACATTTGAACACACGGATGGTTAGATGAACGTTCTGTAAATTTGTAGTCAGGTCGCAACACTTTACTTTCCAAAACAAAGTCGAATGTAAGCTTTCCTCTTACGTAACGATACTTTTTTGACGCGCCCACGTCCTGACATTCTGGATAAGGTGTTTCAGTTCCAAACCCCTTGCGTAAAGCTTCAAAACGATCTGATTGTTTACAGAGTATTGTCAGATCTGTTCAAACGTTAGCATACAAACCAAAACATGTCCACCTGGTAGGTTTTTTTAATCTATACATAAAAACACCTTTAAAGATGTTACACCTGAACCCTTGCTTTCTTACCCAATGTAGGACAAAATGAAACAAAGGTCTTTTAATCTAAACTGTTTTGAGACAAGCCGTTCATCAGCATAGGGTTGTGTCCCCCCGATGTTGGCCAGTTTAATGTTAGGCACGAAATAATATAGGCAAATACTATCAATAACATGGAATATGCCAGGCTGTTTGAGTTAAGATTAAGCAAAGTATGTAATTCATGTAGTGTAGTAAGCTTCACAGAACTAAGTTGGTTGCGCCAGTGAAAAGACGCTTTTGAGTTCGACCCGGTTATTCAAGCTTGTTGCGAGAGGATGTCTAAAAGTCAGTCAACTTATAAAATAATTCAGTAGTATATATATTCCAAATTTAGAAGTCTAATGGATTGTCCGGCCACTGAATTTGCGAGTTGAAAACGCCTAACCCTGCCAACAAAACCAGGTACAAATGCTCGTCAGGATCCTGGTGGTGCATGTCAGTTTGGAACACGAGTAAACCATTAAATGGTTCACTTAGTTGCTTTTTGACCACTTTCTCACTCTTCCATCTACAACTGTACGCAGTCGAACTAGTTCCCAACAGTCTAATTTGCCCACGAGCAAAAAGACATTCAAAAATAAATACAACTGTTAACGGAAATGTGATCACGTGGTGCATGGCTCAATGTAACACAAAATGTTATATCTGCCTTTGTGTCAGCCATAGGGAGGCTTAAGTGGAATGTGCACAAAAGAGTGCCTGTTCAAATTCGATCATCCAATTCCAAAAAGGCAGGCTTTTACTGCCACACTGTCTGTCACGACAGGTGTGTTAAAGTTACCCTGAAAAAGATACTGCATTGCAAACTGATATCTGCTTAGAACCGGTGGAAACGTCATCCACGAAGTGGATTTAGTCGCATCATTTTTTGAAAAATTGGTGAAAAAGACAGCTTCGAAATTTCGTATCTTCCGCAGTAGGGTTTGTCCTGTAGGTAAAGCCAGTCTGTGGTAAAAACCCAGAAGTACTGCACACTTGTTCTATCCTCATTGGAAATCATTATCAGCACGCATCTCCGAAAAATCCAGGGAGGCTCGAATCCATGCCTTTCCCCCGGAAAGCAGTTTGAAGATTAAACCGGATGATCACACTTAGACAGGCGCCAGTCATGAGAGCCACATCATGTGATCAATCGTGTCACTTGGTTCCTGTTCAACATGCAGTACTCCTCAGCTACGTTAGCTTCACTCAAAAGACGGAATTTTCATGAATTTTCAAAAATTACATCTCATTGTGCGTCACCTGTAATATACTCATTCGCAAAACAAGTCTGGTTTCGCAAGAGACTCATCTGGGCTGTCGAATAATTTTCAGCAACTTTATGAGTAGTATATTAAGTCTATTGCTTTATTATCTTCAGTCAAAATTCACTTCTACAA